ACTTTTGTCTTGAGAATTATAACAATTGTTTTCTTCGTCACAGTGCTTGGGAGAATCTCGCGTTATTAACTGCGACAAAGTTTCAAGAAATTTAAGTATTTTAACAAAGCGGGGAGGGGGAGAAGTGGGAATTCTGATGATGGAGGCAGCAGTCTTCGTACGAGTGTTATTCCGCTCGCGACGAAAGTAAGCTTCGACTACGTGGCTAACAACGTCTGGCTGACTGGAACTGGCTAACGATGCATTTTATCTTATCCGTTCTGATGTTTTCTTTCAGTTCATTGATTTCAACTGAACCAAGAAAGTAAGACACAAGACTTAACAGTGTTTATTTTTATAAATGTTAGCCGGGCTAACACGGCTAAAATGAAAGCTCTATTCCCGTACTTAAAGTCACAGCGCTTTAAACCGTAACCTAGATCCTGTTAAGGTAATCAGCGTCAATGTTAGCGAGTTACTTTGCATTCGAATTAACAAACATTGAGGCTTGGGTATATTTGCATAATACGTCCCCTGAAATGTCAAGTGGTTGAGAGATGCCACCATTGAGGGGGCAATAAAACCCAGACAGACTAGACTCTACTTCTGTGCTGAAAGTTACGCTTAAGTACGAATGTGTGCTTTATAATAAAGCATCATGTGAAAAGAGAAGATGGACTGACAGAAGATGGTCTCTTTTTATTACAGCAATGTATATGGCAGGTCCTTAAACTTGAAGACAGCGTTTCTTATTAGAAGGCAGGTTACTGCTATCGGGGCTTTACTCAGGTTGGTTGTTCACTTATCTTACGATGTTATGCCAAATCTTGTGGTTATAAATCGTCGAACAATACAATGGGATCACTGTGAAAGAGTGATCTGAAAGGATGTGAGAGAAAGATGTTTTGGTCTATGATAAAATTCTATACCTGAAAGTAAAAACGAGGATAAACACGGACATCAAAAAATAAAATAGTATATTTAAAGGAATATTGTTCGAATTTTATAAAAGACGGCACTTGATATAAAGAAATGTAAATGGTTTTTTACATTACTCAGGTTTTTTAAACACGGATTAAAACATTTGATTTGTACATCAGATTCCGAGAAACTCCTTATAACCGTAGATCAGACTACACACATGCTGGATTTTCACTGTGGAGAACCGAGTTCGTTATCAACGCGAATAGTTATCCCTACTGTATACATGCGAGGAAAACCACGAGTATGAAACAGAAGAACTGACAGTCAGACATTCTTTACGCGGTCCGGAGAACAAATAACCCGACTGAAAGTTCTAGTGGTTTTTCTCAGGCAAATTCCTGGATGATACCTTAAAATAGGCCACAATCACTTCCATATCCTTTCCATTTCGTTATTTAGAAATTATATCATTCGACACTATATAGCCTGTGCTGCTGACAGCATTGTTAAACAATTAAGTAAACTAATGTAAGTGTTAAGTAACACGTAAGCGAAAGGCAAACGTACGCTCACTGACGGTAGGAAGATCGATACATCGAAGTTCAGGACCGCAGCCAGCACTCGAAATATCCATCGACCATTATCATCCCGTCAACCACTACAGTAACAGCTCTGCCTGGCATCTACTCCATGAGTGGCTTTCTCTCTCCTTGATAAATCGCTGACAAGTCCATTCTACCTATGCATGCTTTAAAAATCGATATTCTCTCTCGTTTCATGAATACGTATGAGCCCACCGCACTACAAAATAAGGTACAAGTGATCTGCTTAACAGAGCTGCCATAGCGGGTAGTGGTTTTAGATGTCCTTCTGAATGAAAGCCACAGGTTAAAACAAACACAGAACACGTGTTTGCAAAACAGAACAAAGACGCCGCATAATTCTACTAGCAGTAATGAAAAACGAGAGCGAAAAGGTTGCTTCTGTTTGCATTATTTTCTTTTAATTTTGTGTCCTACGCTGGTATTTTATTAAGCGTTCCTAACAGTCTAGCGTGAACAAAGAACACATTATGGGCCAGTCCATATCTGCCGCGTTCTTTCTACTCCAGTAGGCAACATGTATGACAAGGGGTCAACTGCAAGAACGTTAGTGCTCAACAGTGGCCTCGGTTTACAGTAGCGCAACAAGGACCGACGTGATACAGAGTCAAGAACACGTCTCGAACATCAGTGTACTGGCTTTTCGAAACAAGTTCTCGCTTTCTTAACACCAACATACTAATGATAAAGCGAATCTTTACCAGAGACATTACCTCAAAAAAGCAACTGTAATTGCATTTCCATTATCGAGAAAAAATTGATCGTAATGAAGTGACTGACTTCTGTACCGACGTTTTAGAGGTGATCGCTGCTTCCACCATCAAAGCGCTAATGACCAAGGCAGTAAGCACCTCTGAAACGTCGGTAAAACTTCTATCAGACTACTCAGCTCCACATCCCAGAAATGAGAAGATCTGCCATGTATTTTAGTAGCAGTATCAGACACTTTATTCAAAGCCCTTCCCCTGTATTATTTGTGAATCTTTGTCTTAAATGCATTCTCTAACGTCGCGTTATCTCCTATTAAAGAATAAACTTTAAATAATTTCTGTACCTAAATTATCCGACGTTCACTCATGGAAGTTTCAAAGAGGTTTATGGGAATTGTTTTTTTTAAAAACGTTCATTATGAAGTCATGAAAACAAGTGGTAAAATAAATTAAGCTAGTTATAAACTGTCATTCATTTTTCCCTAACAGACAACAAATCTTCAAACTGCGAAATTCATAATCTCTCGCGATCTCCCACAGTCTATGACAGTCTGTATTCTGACTTTCGAAACTTCCACAAAGTTTTTGCATTTCTCAACCTAAGGCAAATTACTTTGAGAGGCATTTTTAGAGCCTACATTGAGTTCAACTTTTCCATATCTTATCTTCCTCATCTCTCTTTTTTTTAACTTTCGTTTACACTAACTTTTTTCCTTCCATCCTCTTTTAAGACAATACAATAAATTCTTATAACCAAACCTGCACAGATTCGCAAATGGGACTAACTACAGTTTGATTTTACTAGGTTTCTTCTTACGTAAGATTGGTAACTATTTTGGAAACACGTTGCTAGGAAACAAACAACATCCAGAGCTTTATACACTTGTTACAGTTCGTTTACTTTGTAACTTATAAATGTGGGTCATTGCTTCTATGATTGGATAATATGATAGAAGAAATCTAACGTCATGCGGAGACAAATACATTCTGAAATTCTGCGATGGATACATTCTTACATCTTTAGAACTGGACAGTATCCGTTATGAGCTGCAGACACAGCAAAAGGTTCTTGTTGTAATGAAGCACAGCCCTCCGTCCTCTAAAAAACAAATTTGCCTGACAACGGACCGAGAAATTATCTCATCCACAGTAACGGTCTTGCAAATGTCCTCAGCACTATGAGCGTTCTGTGTACTTAATTCTATTAGAAAATAGTATTGCCATAAATTTCATAAAGGCTCAACGTAATAGACGTAGTTCAGCAAAGTAAGAAGTTCGAGGCGTGAAAAGGCACTGTTCTGTTTTACATATATTACTATCACAGACTTTCAAACTATCTGCTACTGACACGCAGACATTGCTAATGGCTGAAAACAATACAGCGACAAAATGTTGCTAAGGCTTTCTCTTGGAACCAGACATAAAACATCTCAATTTCATGCCTCAGTTCTTTGAGACATTTTCCTATCGTACGACTTAATCTCCAGGTTGAAGTCAAATCAGGCGAACGATGGGTACTCACCACTTACACTTCACCCTATCTACCGGTGTGGAAAATTAGGATCGAGGTAAGTCCCGACGTTGCATGTAAAATGTGTCCCGTTTGGTGACAGTGGTCGTAGTAATCTTCGTCATCACACAGCTAATAAATATTGGGTGCAAGGTATGATCTCATTTCTCTGAATTATCCCTCAAAAAAAAATTAACCCCCTCCGTTTGGAAGACACGGTGCAACAGAACGGACTTCTACTAACTTCTATCATAGACAAGAGGGACTCGGAGAATTACCGAATTCTTTCTTGTGACATGGCTTCCATGTTTTATAACGCCACACACAGTCTTATTCGTATTAAACAACCACGGATGCCATACAAGTTTACTGGTTTCGAATATTTCGAACATTGTACGGAGAATGTAATACAACTTCTGGGACTAGCCCCTCACAGCACGCATGACCTAGAACGATCAGACAGAAACATTCTGCAAGTCTCTATAGGTTTAGCACCATAAAAATTCCACAAACGGCTTCAATAACTGAACAAAGGTTCTGTACCGTTTTCTCTGAAACAAAATGGCATGTGTTGAATTTCTGTTAAGGATTTCTACTGTACAGGAGCAATAATACCATTTATCTAACGAAATTGTAAAAGAAGAAAATTCAGAAAAGATGTCTGATGCGTGTAGTCTGGTAGAAGTTTACCGACGTTTCAGAGGTGATACTATAACCATCATAAGGGCAGTCAGTACCTCGGAAACGTCAGCAAGCTTCTACCCGTCTACACGGCATTACAACCCAGAAAATAGCAATCTTCACTTTACATTAATATCACGACTAGTAGTTTGTGGCGGTCATATAATGTGCTGACATTCGTTGTTTTTGACGTAAATACGTCTATAAGGAAGGGTCATTCGGCAAAAATGTGGAACGAAAAGGGGGAACGAAAAAGGGGAACGAAAAATGGAAACGAAAAAGTGTAACAATGGTTACCTAGGGAACGTCTGTTTACTCGGCATTGTTGTTACCTAGGAAACGTCATCTGTTTACTGTTTACATTACATTACCTTACATTACATTCAGCTACCACAGACCCATCTTAAGCGTAACTAATTCAAGTTGAATAAGCAATGTCTTAATCAAACTTTACTCAATTGTAAAGCATGTATAAAGGAAATATTTAGAATAAAGCCAATATATAAACTTCCTTTCCGTATAGACGTATTTAAATCAAATTCTCCGGAACCGTGGTTCCACTGACAACTTTTTATTCGTTATATATTCACTTACCGACATCTCGACACTCGGGTGGTCAATGAAGATCATCTCAGACTCCTCTCCATCAAGAAGTACAGACACGGTTTTTTCTCCAAACTCGTCATCTGCAAAAAAAACGAAAAAAGACGGGTCACGTTTAGTTTCGACTGGTTCACGAGTTCATGTTCGAATCACTAGCAATGGCGATACAAGAAACAATTTCAAACTCAAGCTTTGAAAACCTCAAAAATAACCACGTCTAAATTCTGTTGTGACATTCGTACAACGCAACACGTAATAAAGGATTCTTTGTACCTTCATGCCTCAGATACCAGAATCTCGTTTATAAAAGGAGTGAGACTGCCAACAGGAACCATATACTGCACTACACCAAAAATATTTTACAGTTTCCACAGTTGGAATTTTTTAACCATAAGGTTCGTGATCGGGTTCTACTGCATTAAGCATATGACTAAACATGTAAACAAATATATAATCTACTTGTACTTTCATATCGTGTATTTAACAGATATAGAGCATGGCAACTATTGAGAAGAGTGTCATTTCACTTTCACGAGTATGAATGTAGATCTCTTCTGGGTTGTTGAAAGTTGTTGGAGACAGCAGGAACCTCTGAAACGTCGGTAAACTTCTATCAGACTACAAGGCGCAACAACCCAGAAGACAGCCGTCGTCAAGTAAATAAATGAGTTCATATGGAACGTTCATCCATCATTTCCTCTTTATTAAACCTGTTGAGAAATTCCAAGCTTTTAATTACCCCGGAGATTAATAACAACAACAACCACAAAGCCCACCACTGAACCACATCCTTAACCACTTCAATCCAGTTCACATATTCACAATCCATTTTAATATTATTCTTTGATTCACTCCGACTGCATATACTGGTATTCCCAAGCAGTATCTGAATCTATTTTCTATATCCCCTGTAAGTTCTCTAAAACTAATCTGTATCATCTTTCTTCATGTCAAAAACCTAGACATACGAGGTGAGGAGCGCACATGTTGTTTAGGGAATATAAATATGAAAAAGAGAATTTTCCGTTCAGATGAATCTAATAAATTGCACATATATCAACGTCATAACTGTACCGTAACAAACCATAGAAGCAGTTCTCAAAGCACTCATAGTGTAGACAGCGACAATCCACGTGAAAAAGAAAATCCTCGAGGGACTATCACATGGTAGTCATAGTAACGAGGCTATTGTTTGTGATTATAAAGATCAGCAGTTCATGTGCAAAGAGACAAATAACACCGATTAACAAAAGTAGCTCTAGACTTCCGACTACGTACATTTTTAAATTAATCTAAATGTGTACTGTCACTAGAGAATTTACCTATCAACAACAAAGCAAGAATAAATAAGGTAATCCTTAGAAGGATTTTAGGTTCTCAAGGCAGCGAGTATAAAGATCGCTGGCTGTCTTGTGGGTTACAACTCCGTGAAATCTGGCAGAAGTTTACCAACTCATCGCTCTGATGAAGGAGGCAGCAAAGACCTCTGAAACGTTGGTAAACTTGTGTCGTATGCAGGCGTCGCGATGCTTTGACATGATTGTGACGAATCGCTTCTCGAGGGTTTTCTTGGTTTGGTGTTCTGATTCGCCATAGCGTATATCTCATACATTTAGGAGAACATTTGACAATGTTAGACACAAACGAGAAAGTAGGACGAGGAAAAAATAATAGAAAACAATATTAAGCTCTCATTAAATGTAAAACAACAGTGTTTACTGTGTATAGAAGAGAGTACGCCGAAAAAAGGTGCCAAACGATATTTTGTCTCACAATAATCTGTATCTGTAAACAAACTAAAAACAAACAAACTCTGACTGAAATATACATGGTGTTTGAGAGTTTTCCATGGAAGGCATTTAGATGGCCTTCGGAACCCTAACAGCAGGTAAAATGATCACAATGGCTGCAATATCGGTAAGTTAATGTAAAAAGATTAAGCTTCTGATGTGTGCAACTGTAGCCTACACCTTAACACTGTCTGCAAATATTGCTAATAGGGGGTGCTCGAGGGCATGGCAGAGGCTGGTACTGTGCTGTGTTGTGTCAACTGCCATTTCATCCGTTCCGGTCACAACCCTGCGCGACTCTAATATCCTAACAAAACCTCCATGAATAAAATCTCGTTTCCACACGAGCAGACAGATTGAAAACACAGGTGGTCATGACATGAACACAAATTATCACGAGCTACTAACTACTATACTCCATGCGCCAGTGACGACATTACACTGCAGTCGTGTCATTAAACACATTTGTATCGACTGAAAGTCTGATTAACGTCTTCACAAACTGCTGCACTGTGTTTCGAACAGTGACAGATTTGGAGGATCACACGATCGATTTTTTTTAATTATCTAAACCCACCGTTTTAACCTACAGATGACGTAGTTTCGAATTGTAGGTCGACTGTGTGAATATTGACTGAAAAGGGGTGTGGAAGGAAACGGCAGGTCATATTTTAACGTTCTAATTTATTTATTTAACAACACTGTCAGTACCTGAAGTTACAAAGCACCGAATTGTAGAATTATTAATTAATAATGAATTGGAAAGTGTTTGGAAGGAAACAGTCCTGGTCTAATGTAAGGTGCTATTCGGTATTTTCCTGGAGGGACTGAGGAAACTTCTGTCGGGTTAACCAAATTTCGAACCGTGGCTCGAACTACAATTATTGCGTTTATGAAGCACGTTGTTCATTAACAGCCCGCGAAGTTGAGTTAGACGAAATGAGATACAGCAATTAGTAAAAGTCTCCGTTTTCCACCCTGCCTTTAAAAAAAACAAATTTTACTACTGAAATAATAAAACTGTTTGTTCATTACGGTAATGTTATGGATAAATATTCCGCTATCCAATGTTACATGTAGAGCTGAGTATTGATCACCGTCAAATGATTGTCAGGCAACTGACATGATTTTTGAATTGTAAAATTGGTTATAGTCATCAAGCTTCAACAAGGAAACAAACAGACAATTCAATGAGAGGATTCTGAGCAGGACTTCAAGAAATAAAATTATAAGAAAAATAAAATAAATAAAATAAAATAATAGGAAATATATAAGATACCAAACTCTTAAAAACAATAACAGAAAATTAAAAATTAGTTCGCACAATAAAGGAGAATTATGAAGAGTTTTTAGGAAAAATAACGAACGCCTTTGGGACGTTGTAAGTAGGCAGGAGTGCAGTAATACAGATGGCCATGGAAAATGTGGAAATGGAACCTGCTGAGCACTGACGGCGAGGCCGTCCCGAAATAAATTGGATAGCTGATGTGGAAAAGACGCGGAATACAGAGGACACAACAGATATTGGAAATGTGTGCGCGTAAAATGACAACCGGAAGGAGATGCTAAGTGACACACACAAACACACATACACGCGAAAGCATATCTACAGGCTGTCCCAAAAGTATACACACATTCAATGAAAGAAATAAAGACATTGTATTAAACTAAACCTTTACATACGTCAGTTGGAATTTAGTAAATCAGTGACTCTAGAGTAGGTGCTAGAAATGACCACCTTGTCATAGTGTGTAAACATATTTTTGAGACACCCGTATATACGGGATATAAAATAGTAAAATATAAGATAAAACGTAAGTTGCATAAATGCAAGCGTGCAGGCGAGAATTGGTTCCACGAATCAAGCCAACACATACTGTAGATCTATTCAGCATGTGAAGCGGAAACTGCTAACATATCAAAATAATATTCTAATTTTGTTATCACACACACACACGCGTGGCGTGTTAGCAAGAACTCGTGGCTTCAGTGTGTGGAGATGCGTAGGACAATTAAAGGCTGGTACAAAAGAGGTGGGTGTAGACCTGTAATTCTAACAGAGCGGAACAGATATGGTCATCACTTTATTGCAATTTGTAAATATATCGACTATTCGGATTGTCTCTCGAAGGATTCTTACAAATCACAAAGGTGGTTCTCACGTCTCGTCCATTGCTTCGCCCTGCTTGCAATGTGCACGGTTCAGAACTAATTATACATAACAGAAAACAACTTTTTTTAATTCAGCCGTATAAAATTAAATCAAACACAAGTACTGAAAGTGTTTCATTTAAACTGTCGCTTAGTAACTTTAATTTGTATTAGCACAAAAATATTTTAGTATTGCGCCGTGTAATCCGACGTTTCATAGCTGCATGTTCCATCCACCAACATGACAATGATGGTGGTACCTCTGAAACGTCGATAAACCTCTACAAGACAGCCTTCATTATAATCGTCGCCGTGAGAATCTCAAATATCACTTAATAAAAAACATGTTACACGGAAGATATCAATGTTCCTGACTCACCTATCGGCTCCTGAAACGTCCGAAAATGGTGGAGAAATATTTACAGCTCATTCCTTAAACGAAACAAGTTTGGCAACTGAGACCTCTTCTCTTGATTTTAGAGCGTTTTAGGATGGCAGTTTCCAATTCATTCATTCATAGCCACGCCTCGCCCACCCCACTCTTAGCCACGCAACTCTGCCGGCTATTGTCCGTGCTGGGAGCACACGGATTTCTATTATAGCAACAATCGATTCTGCAGTAATAAATGGAGGCTCAGGCAGTGCAACAGGTTCGTCTAACCAAGGGGTGGACAGACAGCCCCATCGGCAAATTTCTTCTCTGAACCGCACAAAGGGACTTATTCCTCCCAAGACAATGTCCTAATATTAACGTAGGGCGGCCTCCTGCTATCAGACTTCTTAAGCTTTTCAGTACAGACAAGAAATTAATAACCCTGTTTAGACAGGAGAAAGAAGAATTTGCTGTGCTAACAGTTTTCCAGATTATCCTTATGTCATGCAGCACAGGTGACTCTCGTTATACACGCTTTCGCTAACCGCTATAATTCTGTCGCTTTATTAACGTGGTCAAATGGAGGATAAGATGAGGAGATCTGGGGAACGCATCAAAGAGATAAAATTATGCGTAATTTCAGTGGAGCATCGGCTGGAAAGAAATCGATTCGGAGACGAGGCAAGACTGGAGAATTACTAAAATGTACCTCGTACAAGCAGGATATGAGAGTAGGAAACTAATTCAACTGATTTAGGACAGAGTCTAG